TTTATAGAATGAGTCTATTCTTACGATAGTGCATTTATAGAAGGAGTCTATTCTTACGACAGTTACCTTTATAGAATGAGTCTATTCTTACGACAGTTACCTTTATAGAAGGAGTCTATTGTTACGACAGTTACCTTTATAGAAGGAGTCTACATGTTACATGTTACATGTTGAAATCATCATAGTCAAGTTAATTGCAACAAGAGAGAAAATCAAGTTCTCTAACTTATGTAGTTATAGGTTCTGGATATGACCAGATGATTCAATACGCTTTTTTCCAACAGTCAAAAATTAATCTTCACAAAAAAGTAAACGAAACATGTGCTAAATCCATAGGCCTAATACCAATCACAAGTAAAGAAATGTGTCCCATGAAAATATATTCTAAAGCCCCCTCCTTTTCGTGATTTTACAATAGTTTTATTTTCTTCTCCTCTATATCCTACACCAGCTGTTTCCTAGCATAACTGACTGATTTGTGTATTATAAACATATGTTAGACCCATAGGATTATTATTAATCACAGGATGAAAACAAAATGCGTACTTTGGTCCATGAATATTTTCAGAATACTATAGTTGGGACTTTTACCTACAGTTGTTTCATGTTTTGTCGTTGTATCTTTAAAATCAAACTCAAAAATACGCTAACCGATCAAAAAAGCCTTAAGTCGAAACTGACATATACTCTAGTGAGTAGCTTTCGTCTAATCATTTGGCGCTTTCCTAATAAGATGTCTTGAAATTTGTTGTTTGTACGGGCTTAAAATCAAAATAAGCCTTTTAGAGACCACATCTTAGCGTCAACACATTAACTAGAAGCCATCTTTATTGTGAAAAACGATAATATGAGCAGTTTCCTATAATGATTAGGTGGCTGCGTGTTTTGCAGGTCGTCGTTAGATCAGTAATCACACTATAACAGTTGTTGGTATAAAAGATGGCGCAGAATATTGAAAAACTTAAGCTGCCTGAGCAATCAAGATAACGTCTACACAAAACCTAAGCTACCTGAGCAATCAAGATAACTTCTTATAAAACAGAAATAATTTAACGAAAAAAGTGTATTTTTAATGATCCGGAGAAAATATTTTGTTTAAGTGCAAAGCTGTGCAATGGGATATATTTGCTGTGGTCATAGGGCTAAACCCTGGATTCTAGCGTTATTAGCCCTCAATCTTACCGGATTGGAGTGGAAGTAGTAAATACTTTAATATTTTTATTTATTTTAATCTATGAAAAATTAAGTAGAAACTCTTATGAAATTGTCTCTCGGTGAACCATCGGTAAATTTACAGTCTTGCAACGAAAAATCCAGAGTTTGTTTCCCTGCGGTAGACAGAGCGCAGGTAAGTAATTAGTTGTTAAAGCTTTATCGTAGCTGAAGAATAATAGATAGTGTCCTCTATAGGATAAATTTTCTTCCATAATCAGAAATTAAATATGAATACAGTATTCTCTCAAAATTGAGAAATAAAATTTTCTTCTTCTACAAAAACTTAAGCCTAAAGAATGTAATATTTCTCAGAGAGAATAATCATGTTCTTCAGCTCAGTTTGCTCTATTTAAAGCTAGTACAAAATTTACAAAGAAACGTTAAAATAAGTCTACACCCAACAACAAGAATTAAATCATAGAACTACCTCCTTTAGTGAATATAATTTTTAACAGAGGAAGACAGTTGTTTACACGAATACGAACGTAAAAACTACTTTATCATGAATATAACATAAGAAACTAATAAATAGTAGCCTCGGGAAACTACATCTATGTAGCCATCGTCTCATAAACAGCATACCACGTGACTGAAGAATGCAGTTATTGACGTCACTTTGGTACTTTCCGTTAAACAATGATACAAAACGTTAGGTACTACTAGTCTTTATTATATACGCTATGTATATCTGCTTTAAGTGCGTACAAGATCTGTTTATTATTCAAATATAAAAACATTACACAGAAGAAAAATAACGCTTGCTTATTATTAAAGTCATTTTAAGTTTTTAACATAATTTTATAAAAATAGCGATTATTTTTTCTAGTATACTGATTTTCATCAGTCTTATGGCATATTTAGTTATCGTATGAAATCTACTGAAGACAATATAATCGAAAAACCCACGCAATAAAGTGACATTTTAGCTTTCTGTTTATGTCAGCTCTATTTTGTTCAGTTATTTTTTGAACCATTTGTTTTTCTGCTTTGTAATTGTTATTGCGATATGTTCGTTCCAAGTATGAACGTATTATTGTTGCAGTAAAAACATAAACTGAAAACAAGGAAGCTACAGATAATGCGACAAGTACGTTCCAAGTATGAACGTATTACTGTTGCAGTAAAAACA